TATTACTACTCTTTCCTTTCTACTCTCCAGCCAATTTTCTATCCACAGATTTCATTTATGTAACAAGTTTTGTGAAGCACCTTATCAAATGCTTTCTGAAAATCAAGGTAAACCAAATCCACAATATTTTCTTCATCAACTCTTGCAGTAACATCTTCAAAGAATGTCAGAATATTTGTTAAACAAAACTTTCCCTTAGTGAAACCATACTGGCTCTTTGACAGTATATCAAACTGCTTTAAGTGTCTCTGAAATTCATCTTTAATCACACTCTTCAAAACCTTTTCAACTACTAATGTAAGACTAACTGGCCTATAATTGCCTGGACAATGTTTATCACCTCCTTTAAATATTGTCTAACATTAGCCAACTTGCAGTCTTCTAATACTCTTCCACTACTCAATGACCTATTAAAAATATTAGCTAAAGGTTCACAAATAAAATCTTTAAGTTCCTTTAAATATCTAGGATAAAAGTTGTCTGATTCAAGGGATGTATCAATTTTTAAGTTTCCCAACTTTTCTCTCATGACGAAGATAATTTTCTATTTAATCAGTTATAGAAAGAACGTAGATTGTAAATGCAGTTTGGCATTTTCAGATAAGATTTGTTTCTAATGTTTAAAGAGCCAAAATTCACTGTTGAAGCCTTATCCTTTTTTTCAATGTTTATCTTAAAATTGTGTTGGATGTTTTTCTTTTAGTTCGTCTTTAAGTAAAGCTGGTCTTCACTTCTTTGATATTTTAGGCAATTTTATAATTTATTTTAAATTCAATAAGATTTATTTTATGTTTAATTTTTTTCACAACAGTGTGGTAGCCCAGTGTTTGTTTTATATTTTTCCTATAAATAGTGTTTGTTTGTATCCAACTTCATACCAAATCTTGTCTCTTTCATCCATCTGCAACAATGTGTACTTGGTTAGTCCATGAAATACCACATCTTACTTTGAACAATACAAGAATTTGTTGTTGTTGACAAGGATCTACTTATAGCAAAATTGCCATGGTAGTTGATTCGTGTTTTCCTTTTCAGTTCCTCCATCTATTTCTTTTTCTTTCTCTTGGCAATACTTATGGTACAGAGAAGGACAAGCAAAAAATGTTCAAATTACAGCTGCCAGAGAGGACCGAGTGACTATGCTAACACAGTTATTCATGTTGAATAACAGAATCTGGTAAGATTTATGGCCATTGCTGTGGTGCTTTTAGGGAAGACTCAGTGCTGGTCATTCGTGCTGAATTACAAAAATGGTGGAAGATTTATTTTGTTACAACTGAAATGAAGTAGAGATGAAACAAATCTCACCTCTAACCTTTGGAGGCTCTATGGAAGAAGGTTTAGATTGTTTCTTAGTGGTTTTGCTAGGTACCCACCTAAAATTTCTTAACTCAGGATCACATGACACGATATACACATATGACATAGAGTTTAAGTTAGTGCAGGAATGGCTAGAACCCCAGTCTATCTCATACTGTATAAGTCACTGTGATGTAAACTACCATTCCAACTAGTATATACAAATTTATTTCCTTAAAAATGATAAACATGCAATAATTTGGAGAGTCTAGACTCTGCATCTTTGTTGGTGCTATCACTAAATGTATTAGAGTTTTTATTATATATCTTTACTCAGGTATTCGAATTTTCGAATTAGAAATGTTACAAATCATATCTTCTAATGTAGCCTGTGTACCAGATGAGCTGCAACTGCTATTCCTTTTATTACATAAGTGGTGTTTCTGCAAACACAATGTGAGTTATACTTCTGAGAGCAAGGAAAATTGT